TCTGCCGGAAAAGATTTTTTTCATTTCCATATACTTTAGCACTGGTTGTACAGGATGAGGATATACTGTTCACTGACATTCTGATTTCACACATCTCTCCATTGTGCAGCCTGCATGGATCCAAGTCATAAAGCTGAAGGACTTCAGGGATGTTTTCCTGAAGGATGTGTGTGAGCAAAATCCATTTCCCTGCTGCAGACACATCTTTAGAATCAGCAAAGCCTTCCCATCCTGTTCCCCAGAGGCAAACTATGGTCTCTCCACCATCCCACTCCACAAACCTGGGACATTGCCAAGGATATCTGCAGCCAAAGGAGGGGAATGTAGTTTCCTACCACAAGAAACAGAGCTGCCAGTGCAGATGTTTAATGTGTACTCCTCTCTGCAGATCTGTGCTAAATAGGGAAGCACTACCCAGTTCATATGGAGGAACTGATGTGAGCCTTCATCCACAAGTCAAACTACAGCTGTTCTGAAAAACATGGGGAAATGTGAGCCAGAAGCAAATACCCTGGCACTGGACACAGCTTTGTGTTACTCCAGTGCTAACATTGCTTCCTACTTACACCATACTGCATAAGCCACTTCAAGGAGTGCCTTAGAGCTAACGCTAAAACATTACAGAACAAGAATGACGTGGGGGATATAACTGAGCCATGCACTGGAGCTGCTTCCCTCCACAGCCAGAGCTATGAGACACCACCAGTGGTTTGTTCACATGTGCAAGTAACCAGCAACACCTTCTGCAGCAAGGTTAGGACACAAACTCCTGTCATGTGCTCCACAATTCAGCCTCTCCCTCTTTAAGAGCAATCCTAGAGGTAAGCATTGCTCACACTGTTTGCAGCACATATCCCTGTATTTAAATTCACTCACTGAGATGCATGACTGCTTCTTTTGGTCATACACTATGTCTGTGAGTTCATATGACACCTGTAACTTATAAAGGAACATTTTCTAAGCTGCTGTGACATTCATCTGTTTGAGTTCAAACAACCTCTGTTCAGTTATTCATAGAAATCTCAGTTTGGGACTACAAACTTCTGGTCACAGAATACAGTTACAAAAAAAGTACATCAAGAAATCAGGAAGACCCCAGACTTATTTCTCGTTTGGAAAAATCAGTTAGATATGGAACCTTTTTCTTTTCAGGTGTCCAGATCACATGCTTTCACCTTTTCTACATATCCAGTCTCATGCCATGATACAACTTTTTGGAGAACATCAGCTAACATATTAGGTTACATAGGGGTATAGCTGAGATCAACATCGTTGGCCTCTGCACAGAGTTTGGACATTAAAAACAAGGAACAAATGGACATTTGTAAAAACCCCAGATAAATCCATTGAAGGTTCTTTTATCAGATACTTTATACCCATTTGAAGCAAGTTTTCTGAAGCATACAATAATCTACATATTAAGATTTGCTGTTAACAAAGGTTTTTTTAGGCATCCTTGCAATTTGGGCTTGTGTAATCACTCTTTCCTGAAGATACTTAATTCATATTCTGCTCATTCTGAGGAACCAGCATTTCTTCAGGTATCTCATTATTTTCATGTTAGTTTTGCATCGTACATCAAGTTTTAGAGATTGATCCTTCACTATCACACCCTCCCTACATAGAGAGTAGATCTAAAATTGTTCTGATGCATAGAAATTGTCCTTCTGCATAGAAATTGTCCTTCTGCCATCATGCCCCATCTTCTTCCCACCAGCACAGGATGAAGACCATGATGCAAATAATTAATATGCTTGCCTCCCTTTGGGTTGACTGATAAAATGGAATTAGACAAATGAATTTTGGTCCCCACTGATCTTTGAGTACACTGTGTTATGACAGGGTGTGAGATGACATGTCAGATAATGTATAGTGTCACACTCTCCAACTATTTGATGCCATTTAATGTAATGCATCCTGGCATGCCATGATGGGATGACACAAAATGAGAAAGAAGCCAAACTGGAAATACCAATTACCCACTCTTAACCCTGAGGCAATAGGGGGAAAATATGCCTGTGTCTGGGTGACCCTTGCTCTGCTTATTGCCTAATCTTCATCGTTCAGGGAGCTTGTTTCGGGTACTCCTCAGTCCGAGGTCATTACCGACCATTCCGATGGTCAAAGTGTCTGTAACCCTCCCCTTCATCAGAAATCCAGGAGAAGCAGCAGAGAAATCAACTGAAAAAAAATTGTAAATCGCTGTTCCCAGAGTGTCAAGTTGAGCTGATATTTCATGTCTAATGAGCTGTAAAGCCACAGGGAATAAGGAATAAAGAAAAGGCAGGAGGGAGCAGGGAGAAGGGAGAGTGTGCTGGCAGGCAGGCTGAGTCAAAGCATCCAAGGACTGCACAGACAGACAGGGTCGAGGCTTGTGAGCTGCCCAGCAGAGTGGAAACAAGCAGGGTGTAGGAATAACACATCCTGTTCTGCTGCAGGCCAGTCCTGGAGAAGGTCACTCTCCCAGCCCACCCTGAGAAGCTCACTGTCACCTTTCCCTCCATCTGAAGTCAACTCTCTGACCTATCAATAACCTGCTCAGGTATTTCTTGTCTAAACTGGTCTCCTCAAAAGATCTAAATCAAAGCATTGTTTCCTCTTTGACGCCTCAAGTTCTGAATGAGGGCACACTTTCACACCCGGGAATGTTGGCAGAGTGGAGGAAAAGCAAACCCCCAGCTGAGAGGCAGGGATGGGATCCCATGGGATCCCATGCCTCTCTGCTGCACCAGAACAGCACCTGTGGGCAGCATCAATTAAAGTGCCAAAATAGTCCTGGCTAGTGGCACAAACAGGGTGATAGAGAGTGATGGTTTCATGATACCTGAGTTTAATACCACAGACAGGGCAGAAGTCAACAAGGTTTCAGCAATTTCCTTCTCACCTCCCAGCTTCACATCTTCTCCCACCCTCGCTACATAGCTCTCAAAGCAACAATTTCCACCCACTTGCCTAGGCCCCAGATTTCAAATGCATCATACCAGGAATGAATTCAAATCAAGGAGACTGCTTACACTTGATCTAAATCTACTGTACTTTACTGACTTTCATAAGTCTATATGAGGCTCTGCTTTCCAAATACTCTTCTGCCAATCTCAGTGGCCAGTCATCTCTCATCACAGTCTTTTTGCCCCCATAACTTGTTCCTGTAACCCTCCCAATAACTGTGAATTCCCACTGCCTGTTTCTTCAAGCATCAGTGGGAATAACTACATATAGTTGCAGATGCCTCACCATCATTTGCTCATCATTGTCCCATTATGATGGGTTAGCTGAAGACACTTGGGTCTTCAGATTTTTAAATGGGATTAAAGGAAGGCAAAAATTTTTACATGATACAAAACACTTCTCCTACAAATCCTGCCCTCAACATGTTCTGTGTTGAAAATCTCTAAAATAAAATTTGTATTTTTGAGCTTGTTCATAATACTATTAAAAAAACCCCATACATCACAAAGCAAACAAATAAACAAAGAAATCCCCAGCACAATTCAAACCAAAATTACACCTCCATGAATAATGTCATAAATATACATGCATTCTAAATATCTGTCAGAGGCTGCCTTGGTCTGTTCCCACTCAGGCTGGCAATCCTCTAGAAACAAAATTATAGTATATTTTCATTCATTTCTTCCAGGACTTAAAAACAATTATCTTAGCTATTGAAAAATATTTGAGCAATATTATGAGAAAGATGGGGAAATGCTCCAGAGCACAATGAACACATCTTCTTATATCAATTAACAGTTATCAACTATGAATATGAAATGACAGATCACAGCTACACTGGACTTACATAAGGAAAAATTACATATTTTTCACAAAATTGGGAGAATCCTCCTGTCAAAGCTGAAGGAAGTCTAGATTTATCAAAAGAAGAAATAGTTTTGTTGGGCTGTATAATGTTGTTTATTTTATCTAATTTATTTGAAGTTCTATTTAAACGTAAGTTCCCTGTTTGTAAGAGAAAAAGCCCAGCCAGTCTCCAGCAGAGTGGCAAAACTGAACAAATTGCAAAATCATACAGTGTAATTGCCAGAAGAAAAGTGCTAAAAGGATACAATCAAATTCCAACCAGTGGAATACTGAAAAAAACAAAACAAACAAACCCAAACAAAAAAAATGAAAATCCAGACATCTGAAACTGTTGCACCAAATCAATGTGACAACTGCAGAGTTTAAGTGAGGTCTCTGTATGAGGTCCTGAACAAATGATTGTGGGCAGGAATTCAGAGATAAAACACTCTAAGTTCAAACAGAGACACAGAATAAGCCCCATGACATGGCTCAAAGCTACAGGATTTTTTTCAGACCTGATGATGACAGAGGTGGGTTTTTTGGAACACAATGAAACCTGTTCAGTCCTTGAGACAATCCTACACAGAATCAAAGTACATTTAGGACCTCAATGGAGGCTAATAGAGAAATCAGGAAACAGATCAGGCAGCCTTGAGGTGATCAGCAAGATTCACCTTCACCTAAAACAAAGAGTGTAGAGTTGAGGTGGTCCTCCTGGTCTCTGGTAAGCTGCATCCCTGCACCAAGTGATAAATAACATTATTCAACACTGTCCCACTTCTGACTCTTCATCCTATAGACCATCTGTGGAAAACACCAGCATAGCCCAGCAATCAGTGATTTTTTGTTAAAGTATGGGTGCATCTGTAGAAATGTGTCTATACTGATATACACACACACATGAACAACTCTTTATAAATAGAATATACTGGTGAAACAAGCCTCATGTGATTCCCAATGCATGTTTAATATATTTATGAGTATTTCTAGTTCATTTTTCCTTTTGACTCCAGACCTGTCTGTGCTGTGATCCTTCTACAGTTAAAATAATACACTGGTGTTCAGTGTATAATAACTCATTGGTTAGATTTTTCACTTCATAAAAAATTCAGTTAAACCTTCAAGGACAGGCACTACAAGAACATGAACATAATGTCAAAAGCATTCCACAGGAGCCTCTCAATTGCTTTAATTCCTTATTTTATTGCAGAAAAGCTTTATATGTTTGAGTCGTTCCAGTCTCAACAAATTGGTAACTGCAGGTAAGCAAAATGCTTAAACCATTTGGATAGTGAGCAAAATCTCAGTCCTTTCATTGACTACACTTCTGTTGTTAGAGGACTGTTGGTGCTCTGTGAATCTAAAACTCTGCCATTCAAAGGCCAAGCATAAAAGCATAGACATTAGCTGGTTAGTTGATAAGCCTATGAGCGTTATAATGTCCTGGAAATTACTCTTATGAGCATAGTTCCCCCTGGAAAACCCTTTCCTCTAATGTTCAGCACTTGACCAGTTGACACAGAAAAGACTCATCAATATCCAGCCCAAAAAGGCTACAGTGGGCTCTGCAGGAGCATTTCCTACAGGAGTTACACTGAGCTCTGCTCACCAGGCAATTGTGTGCCTTTAGTGGGAAGGAGACACCAAAGGTGGTCTCAGTGCCTGTGGCCAGAACAGCTCTTACCAGAGCTCGACACCTGTGTTTGTGCCAGCCCTGCTGGGGGGCTTCAGCAGAAGGGAACACACAAGTTAGTGACCCACAGTCTTATCCAAGGATTTTCCAGCCTGTAGTTCCATGTCACTATCCCAGTATGTGCTTCCAAGTCTTCTTGGAAATTGGTGGAACATTCCAGAAAGCCTTGGATTTTTTTTCAATCAACTAATAGACCTCATGGTTTAAATCAGGAACACCTGCAGAAGATAATCATGTCACCCATGCACCAGACCTTAGACCAGAAATGGTCTCAGACACTTGATCAGAAAAATTTTATCCCAACATTTATATTTCTTTCTAACTTGGTCCGTTAAATAAATAAGCCTTAGGATACTGATACCTTCTTTCAGCCAGTCCTTCACCAATAGTTTGAAGATGTGAATCCACATCAACTGAATGTGGCAAAGGAACAGCAACCTCAGAGAGGCTGAATTCCTGCAGTTTTTGTGGACACTGGTAAATGATGGGACAAAGGCTTGTTACTGACAGCAAGGTCGATGTGCAGAAATTTATTTTAGATGCTAAGAATCCATAGAAATGGTACCTGTCATGCTTGCCAATAGACAAACACATAAGAAACAAGATTTCTGAAGTTCTACTTACCTCCCTCCATCAGGCAGTAGACAATACTTAAAAAGACCAACAGTCAAACTCCTTGTGTTAACCCAAAGCAGAGCATCTCCCTTTACTACTAAATTTTATAAATAGAGGAAAAGCAAGATCAAGCTTCTAAGGACCTTATTCACAAGAAGCTGTTAAGTCATGACTTTAGGTGAGACTTCAGCTCATTCACAGCGGACTGAAGGGAATGGCGCATCCTCTGGAAAAAAGGATATATCTCAATATTCAGTGAAGTATAGGGTGCTAACCCATAAACTATGCCATCATCTTCATGAGGTTTTTGTGGGTATAAATTTACAGTAGCTCTAAATGAAGTCCTGAGCATTGTAACTATCAGATTCAATAATTCTACATGGAGTCCTTTTACTTACCATCAGAAGCCTTTTTATTTCAGAACAGTAAACAACCAATCCTCATCTAGCTAATTGTCACTGAAAGAACAAATGATACAATGCAAATTACAAAAGAGTAGACACAAAATATTATTATTCAAGGCAAGATTTCTGTAGGTAATCCCGCCTGAATAATTGGCAGCACCATCTCTGTCCCTCAGGGGTTTAACAGATGGAGGTATACAGAGGTACATGTACCACCCTCTGATCTTGTTTTGCAAAACTGATGACTTGGTCAAGAAATACAACTGATGGAAATTGAGGAATTCTGGAAAAAGTGATGGAACCAAGACAAAAAGAACATTCAGCACTCTGTTAAGATTGCCTAATTATAGTCTCCTAAGAGGATGATCTTCCTTATACTCAGAGGGTTTGGGAAGCTCACTTTAATATTCCTTATACAGACATACCTGATTAAAGGTTTTGTGGTTGGATTGTGGTTTTCACTTTCACTGAAATCTTGGGAACCAGTCTGAGAAATGATGCTGTAACATTCCTGGAAGAAATGAAAAAAGTAGCGAGTTCTTCTCTTTTAATCTCCTGCAAAGCAAGTCACAAATTATATCGCAGAGGGTTGAAGCCTGAAATCCTGGGGACCTGTAGTCAGCCTTGGCAGGCATTTTCCCACCTTCCTATACAGAGATTTTGGCAGCATTTTGAGAAGTCAGAAAAAGTAATCTGCTTTTCAGCTGACATAAAATGTAATCAGAGTATGCCAGGAAAACCCCAGGAAAAGCAGATGATAGAAACCATGATCCAGTGAAGCAAAACCCAAAGAGATCAGACGTGCTGTATTCCTCACTTTCACTATGGCAACTTAGAATAAAGGCTTGTCAGAGAGGGAATGACTGGAAGTTTTCCTATACAATGAACCTCCTGAAACAGTTAGAAAAAAATAATTAGATAGGAATAGAGGAATCCTCTGAAGCACACAGTGTTCAAATGAGAAAGAAGAAAAAATCGACAAAAAAAGTCTTTGTTTTAAAACAATTCTTTCAACATGAGCTAAGCATAAGCATGGCATTTTGTTCTGTTTATTATTTGTACATCAGTAGGACAGAGATGTCCAAGACCAAGGTTGTTTGTGTTAGATTCCTCACACTGTCTTTCTAAATAGACATGACAAATATGGAGAAGAAGTAAGCAGCATAATTTTCTGAATGAGTAACTAAAAAGAAATTTAAAAACATGCCCAAGGACATTGCAGAAATCATTATCAAGACACTCATGAGCCCAGCTCCTTGGTCACAGTCACTAGCAAATGACTGCTGATACAGAAATCACCTGACTTAGCACATTAACCACATGTTAACCCCCCCGACTACAACACCCTCTTATTCAGTCCTCAAGTGTTTGTAGAAAATGGAAATTAAAGAACACTACAGAGCACTTTAAAAAAGCTCATTTTTTTTATTATGAACAGTAAAAATGAAAAAAAAAAAATAAGAAAAGCTGCCTCTTAGTTCTAGCAAAACCCACTTAAGCATGATCTCAGCCATCTTATTAATTCCTGACCCTAATATCCCTGATTTCCCATAGACTGTGGGCTCTACAGGTGCTCATCAATTATTCCTGCTTACTCCAAACATTTCCACCCCTTACCTGAAATCTAAAGAATCTGTCTATTTCAGGTGACTGGTGCAGTGTCTTGACTGGCTGGTCTGAAGAAAACAGGCAGAATCACACCCTTGTTATACACTTTTCAAAAGGCAATAAGAGATCACGATGAGGACAGCCAAACATTGGAACAGAGAAGTTATGGTCTCTCCATCCTTGGAAGATCTGAAAGCCCAATGGGATGAAGCTCCAATCTCACAGCTGACCCTTCTTTGAGTAGAAGGCTGGGCAAAAAAATTTCTGTCATCTTTTCCAACATGGATTTACCCCATGACCGCATGATCTTACTGTGCCAAACATATTCTCAGCAGAATTGGAAGTAGATTCTTAATTTAAAGACGTCTGAAATTCTGCAATATGATTCAGTTAAAACTATGTCTCACTGTAAGAAACAGAAATAGTAGCATCTCTTTTTTCGACATGGATTTGATACTAAACAAAAATCTTCATTTTTGTCATTGATACCAGCATTGGTGTTTCCAACAGCAGTCTGAAAGGCCCAGGTGGTTCCCTAGAATTATCTAGGAAATCTGATAGCAGTGTGATAGATGAGTTATTGAAACCAAATCTCCTGGCCCATCCTGGATCTTGTGCTCCCTTCTCTGCCTAAGTAACAACTCTCACACCCAGCAGCACCACCTGAAACACCACAAAGCTCAGCCTGTGCATGTAGCCAAACACGCTGGTCTCAGATGAAATATGCTGAATTCACTGAGCAGACAAACTGCAAAGCACATGGGCAGTAGGGGCTGAAGCTTTTCAATGAGCAGTAAGGGCTGCACAAGGCAATAGGATACAAACCCATAACACAAGTGAGTGTTGCTTACTTACCTTACATAATGACACTTGAGACAGACAGACCTCAAGTGACTGCAGTCATGACCCCAGGGCAGTTGTTTTTTTGTTTTACCCTAAAGCCTTTGGAACATTAAATTTTATAGACAAAAAAATCACATCTACTTCCAGACTTTAAGACATTTACAGGTGATCTGACCTATTTTAATTTTCTTTACTTGTCCTCTATCTATGTTTTTCAAAAATACCTATTATAGTGGGTTCCACATTTTAACTAGGCATATTCATTAATATTTAACACACACCAGGTGCATTTCAAAGTTCCAAATTACAAAATTATTTTTCTTGCTTCCTACAGGAAATTTACATGTTATATTGTTCTAGATGCAGGATGTTATTTCACTCTGAAAACTTTGATTCTGTTGTGATCATTTTCCCAAAATTTTATGCCCCTGTTGTATGACACATCTGATTGATGCAGCGTTTGCTGGATAATGTGTGATGAGCACAAGAGTTTATAGGATACACTCTGGTTGGGTTCATTACTTACACTGTTGGTTGGTGACTTCCAAACTGACTCAAATCCATCCACACAACTTTGGTCTCAGTCTGATGAAATGTGCAATTGCCAGCACAGTTTTAGTCTGATGCTGCTGAATCATTCTACAGAATATTAAAATAAAGAACATGGGCTACCACTGTGACAACCTTGAGGATTTGCCACTTCACAGTAGCCAGTAGCTCTATCAGGTACTAACATCACCAAGGACTTGGTGCACACAGTTGAGAAACAGTGGTTTCATTAGCTATCACTGATCAGCTGAATTCTGGAGATTGTCCAGAGGATTGCTTATCTCCAGATACGTGGAAATATAATGCAACTTTAATGCTTTTTATCAAAGTTTGAGATAAAAGACTTGACCTCATTATCAGGTCAAGAGAATGTGCTCTGAGGGTTGTGGAGAGCTACATCAGCCCAGCCCCTACACTTCGGTGGGTTTAATTGCCACATCTCTGTTGCATGTTTGAGCCCTGTGTATGCTTGATTTAAGCTGTTTGACCCCATTGCCTGAGATCCCTGTGTGCTTCAGGGATCCAGACCTCCCTCCACAGCTTCCATCATTACTGAAAAAACACAAATACCAGCTTTGAGTTTATAAGAACAGCAAAGGAACATGCAAACATAAACATATTTGAAGAAAAACCTGCAACATTCCAATAAAATCATATTGGTGCAACTGTTTGAGGATAATCATGGTGTACAGTCAAGGATCTGCAAAAGCATAGCAGTAATTACAGGCACCACGCTTTCTGTTCCCCTGAGCATCAGAAAACACATCAGATAGGCAGCAACAGTTATGTAATAGGAAGCAATAATTTCCTGTAATTTCCACATCAGCATATTATATAATGAACACATTGATGTGGAGCAGACCAACGACCAAGCCACAGCAGGACGGAACACCGGCAAGCAGATTTATAACTCTCAAAATAAAAAATTTGAAAAGCGGAAGAAGAAAAGGTGTCAGCTCCAATACCATGCTTTTTCAACTAGAAATCTTCCAGGAACCCTACAAACATTGTGCAACATGATTCCACAGAGCCCCAGAAGGATACTGAATGAGTACGAGAGCCTCTATTTTGTACCAGTGTAAAGTAAGGGGAGGATGAGAAGCTGTAAGGTAATAGAATGAGACTGCAGGAATTTGGATTCATGTGTCAGTCCCAACAGAAATACACAAGGTGAAACTGGGAAAGCTACTTTGGGCCAAAGTTCAGAAGTATCTTAAAAAATTAGTTTACCCAGACAAAAATACTCTGTAGCTGGAGATTATTTGCTTTATGGGAAGTTAGTATGGAATTTCTCAGGAATCTTTAGGGAAAAAAAACAACTGGCACCTCTTGAACCCGGCACTAGTGATTAACCCTGAAGACTATACATGTGCTTTGTGTTATACATATGCCAATGTGAAAGCTTAAGCTAAAATCTCTCTCTGAACACTAGTTATTAATATTGTCTTCTCATGCATTCTCATGTTTAGGAGCTTTATGGAGCAAAGACAGTAACCCACATTTTATTGGCTGACAGAGCCCCTTGGGAGGACCTTCTGGAATGGCAAAGGAATCCAGGAAAGCTGGACATTGTTCAAGAAGGAAATTTTAAAGGAGCAGAAGTAGGCTATCCCCCCGTGCCAAAAGATGAGCCAGTGGGGAAGGACACTGGCCTTCAAAGACTTTTGTCTAGGACTTAAGAAAAAAGGAGAGTTTATGGCATTTGGAAGAATGGACCGGCAACTCATGGATGTCATGAGGTCATGCAAGGAGAAAATGAGAAGGGCCAAAGCTCAATTAGAATTTAATCTGGCTACTGTTGTACAAGGCAATAAGAAATGTTTACATAAATACATTAACAAAAGAGGGAGAAGGTGAACCTCCATCCCTTATTGGATGAGGGGGGAAACACAGTGACAAAGAAGACTGAGGTACTTAACTCCATCTTTCCCTGAGTCTATAAGAGCCAGTTGTTCTCAGCCCCTGGAGACAGAAGACAGGGACAGGCAGGAGAATGAAGCCCCCATAATCCAAGGGAAATTGTCAGTGAGCTGTTACAGCACTGACACTCACAAGTCCATGGGGCCAGATGGGATCTACCCAAGAGAACTGGGGGAGCTGGTGGAGGAGCTGAGCAAGCCACTCTCCATCGTTTGTCAGCAGTCCTGGCTCAGCAGGGAGGTCCCAGCTGACTGGAGGTCAGCAAATATAAACACCCATCCATAAGAATGGCTGGAAGGAGGATCTGGGGAATTACAGTCCTTTCAGCCTGAGCTCAGTGCCCAGGATGGCTGCAGAGCAGATGGCCTTGAGTGCCATCAAACAGCACATGAAGGATAATATGGGGATCAGACCCAGCCTGGAGGGGTTCATAAAAGGCAGGTCAAGCTGGATCAATGTGATCTTCTTCTATGTCAAGGACACCAGATTGGAGAGTGAGAGAAAGGCTGGATGTGTCTACCTGGACTTTAGTAAATCTTTTGCCACCATTTTCCACAGTATTCTCCTGGAGAAACTGGCTTGCTATGGCTTAGACACGTGCACTGTTCACTGGGTAAAAATCTGGCTGGATGGTCAGGCCCAGAGAGTGGTCAGTGGAGTTAAATCCAGCTGGGGGTTAGCACCAGTCATGTTCCCCAGGGCTCAGTATTGCAGATAATATTTTTATCAGTGATATGGAAGAGGGGGTCAAGGGCACTCTCAGTCAGTTTGCAGATGAAAAGTTAGATGAAAATGTTGATCTGCTGGAGAGTAGTAAGAATCTGCAGAGGGATCTGGATAGGCTACATTGATAGTTTGTAATAACAAACCAATATAATATAACAAATAGAATAGAATAGAATAGAATAGAATAGAATAGAATAGAATAGAATATAGAATAGAATATATAATTACAAGAGGCTATATT